ATACACTAATATTACAGTGTATGTCTGCCAAAAATCTGTCACAGAATGGCAGGCAACTAGATTCTTTTTTGGTTCGATTTATGACAAATCTAAATCTTATATGGCTGATCCTCCAACTTCTTTATATTGTCAAGATTGGGTTCATTCTCTCAAAGCTGAAAATATTGGTGATTTGAAAGTAACCTCAGAAAATACTTGGTCTACTGATAATGAAGTAAAATACGAATATAATTGGCCAACAACCACAACTGGGAAAATTTTTAATGCACATTTGGCTCTTACAACAATTTATTATGACCATATAAAAGGTATTTTTTTAGGCCCATTTTCAGGATTATCCACTTGCAGTATTACTTCCGGATCTTGTACTGTAGGTACTCAAACAATTATTTGGAAAAATTACCCATTAATAGATTGTCCCCCTTTTAAAAATTTCAATTCGAAAATGGCATTGCATTATAATGCGTCGGGTGACATTTACCGATTAGACTTTCCGGAGTTGGGAGCCAGCATCCACCAATGGGGTTCATGTGGTGCTTATGTTCAAAGATGTTTTAATACAAAAACATTTTGTACAAATAATGCACTTTTATTTGAAACTCACAAATGTTCTTCATTGAAAGCTGCTGGTTTCATCAATTCTAAATACCCAAAACTAAGGTATAGTTCCGTAGTGGTAGATTCTGTTTCTAGCACTCTGACTGGCTTTATTCAGGAAAATACTGACAGGGTAACCGAGGTAATTGTTAATATATCATCAGACATCAATTACCTCGAGTGTCAACTGGAAAGTATTCTAACCCGAATATACAAAACTCTAAGTAAACAATATCCAGGTCAAATTTTAAATGAAGTGTTAGGAGGCAAACATGCTGCTATAACGGTAGGGGATATCCTCACAGAAATACACTGTGAGCAAATAAACGTTACTATATTACGATCACTATACTATAATAATACTTATGCAACAAGGCCACTTGTAACGTTTCTCAACAAAAATAATGTTACCATAGTTGCGCAGATATTTACAGATACGAATGTCTACGCAGGTATACATTTTTTGAAAACTTCGTCTCCGGACGAACGTTTACTTTTGCAATCAATGGGCGATACTATACGTATATCAATACACGCTAACTCATACAAATGCCCACATACAATCTCTAAGGCCTTCTTTAACCAAAATCAACGAAACCTTTAAACCAATGGAATATCAAAAGATATTCCAAGATATGCCCCACGGAGGACACTCAGGCTTCGAAGATCTCAATAATATTCTAATTTCGATCAATCACCTGAACTTGATCAAAGAAAAGATATTATTGGATCACAAGTCGTCCTCCGAAACAAATACAAACAACCAATTTACTACAACTAAAAACAAAGTTGAAGACAACTTTGTAAACGCTTTATCATTTATCAGTCATCCAATTTTGTCGGCTTTCTACATGCTAGCATGGCATTTAGGAATGTTTTGGGGTATTGTATTGACCATACTCGTCATAAAGCGTATGATACCAATGCTCAAAACCTCGTCAACGCCTGTATATAACAGAGCTAGACAATTTTGGATAAATTTTAGAAACCCCGCTCAGGAACTTAATCCTGTAGAACCTTTGCCAAACGTAAATAGAACAAATAGAGAAGACACTGAGACTGCTGTACCTATACATGCCCCCCATAATTCCAATAACCTACCCAATCTATACCCCAATCTTCCTTCTTGAAATTTTCACCTCTCTTGGTGACATGTTTTTCTTATTTACATTGTATTGTATCACATATTTTGTTTGGTGAATATACACTTAAATAAATATTTCAAAAAAAAAAAAAAAAAAAAAATAATATGAAAAAAAAAAAAAAAAAAAAAAAATAGAAAATTGGTTTATTGATATCATTTTATTATGTTTTTCGTTATTTAAATTTAAATTAATATTTCATCATCAGGGATAACTTTAAATCACTCAATTTATGACGTTATATTTTCAATTTTACGATATATTTTCAATTTCACTTACAATTTTATGTTTTTTCTCTTTGTTATTTTTTTAGAAATCTATACAATTTTTGACACGTTTGTTATGCCGAAACCCCGAACTCCGTTCTTTAGGGCCGAATTATTATGTAGGGATTATTATTAGTTAATTAGACCATAATTTTAACAGTAAGAAAAAAAGTAATTCCAGTTAGGACAAGTTTTCTTCTGAATTTGAAAAAGGTAGAAAAAATGAAATTTACGTTAAATACTTAATTGGCTTTCATAGGAATAACCCGTTAGTTAAAAAACACGTTATCTTGCCCTTGAGCAAGACAAACTAGTACAAGCCAGTTTTAATCACTCGACCACTTATAGCTAACTATTTAATTGGCTACAGACATCCTTCTAAATCGTTTTACAAGAATTGCCGAGACTTAATTACGGCATTCTTACTTTATTTATTATAAACGATATCCACGTAAAAGCCAAACCCTAAAGGCATAACAGGCGTCTCGACTATTGTATATAAACGGACAATAATTCTTTAAAATTAACTCACTGGTTTTGATCTTGATCTATATTCTGCTCTGTGTTGTCAATACAAGAATTATAAGGTTGGTGACTTTGTATTATATTCGTTGTCTGCTGGGTTAAGCTCTGCCCTAACTGAGTCAGAGGGAATTTGGAAGTCTGGTTTAAACTCTAGTTAACCGAGAGTTTATGCTTTTCACTAAGCTCTGTTTAGGATTGCTTTAAGATAACAAGCATCCTATAGAAGAATGCCACAAATTATAAAGCAAGATTACAGAAAATTAACTTTACTTCTTCTGTCTAACCTAATATTGTAATTTTACATTAATAAAAATAAAACAGAATTCATTTCTCTTGGAACATATTTTTGAGAGAGCATTACTTTTGTGCGAAGCACCCTAGATTACTGAAACTTTTGGTTACGACCATACATAAACGGAAGTTTCAGTGTTACATAAATATTCTTCATTTTCGTGATATTATTTAAAGAATTTAGGATTTAGATTCCCAAGGTTGGAGATGAGAGGCTACGCTGTATTTATTAGTCAGAGTCAGTCAGTCAAAATTATTTTATTTATCACTTCAAAAAAAAAAAAATTAACAACAAAATATCTGTAAGAAATAAATATTGGAATGACAGGTGCTCTGAAAGACGGAATGATCCGCCATTGGAGTTGATTTTCATTTGTCAAAACAATCAATAACTTCGGAAATGTTTACTTAGGAAATGTGTAAAAATTGTGAAAAAATAGAATTTCATTCAAAGAAAATAAGACTTTATACAGAAAAACAAAATTATTAATGTGAATAGACATTTGATAAAGCTTTTTCGAAGTACATCATTTTTTCTTCTGAAAAACAAAAATGCCAATGTCTCATCATTGATCCTCAACTTACTGTTTCGAGGTGGATAGAAATTATGTTATTGAATTAGATGGATATACAATCGTATAGACATATAGGTTTATACAATTAAATGGAATTTTTTTTAATTCTATGGGTTGTGCAAACGGCTAGTTTACAGATGACGCTGAATACTCTGGGAATACTAAAATTCAAAACTTTAGCACGCCTGAAGATGGGGAAAAGTTATTGGAAAATTAAGTTACGTATGACAACTTTTATACCAGGTAAATTTACAAAACACAACAACAAACGTTTCAACAAATGATAGGTTGACTACGTTCCAACAATGTTATCGTTACAATTGAAAATTCGTGATATGCGTAGAACACATAGATGAGAAAGTTCCAATTAAGGTGTCGGTTCGTAGAAAGTCTGTAAGTTGATAAAACTTCTTGGGTTCCATTTAAAGTCAAGAATATAATGAATTCGTATAAAAATATTATCAGTATGGATACTTTCAACAAAAAATCTTTTCAGTTTCTCATATTTAAAAATGAACTACGAAATATAGCATTTCACATATATATATATTGAGTCTTACCTCACTATCCGTAATAGCTCTTTTCCTTATGCCACTGACTGTTGCAGTCGACAAATCAACTACAAATGCAGATGCAAACACGGCACAGCCGAGCAACATTACTCTCAGAAAACCCATATTAAGACTAGATTAAGTCTGTGAAGTAAATGATAATCGTTATCTCGAATGATTAATTCAATGATAACAAATGATAATTAATATATTTTCAGGATTGATCGTAGAATATGGAATAGCATTTTGAATAAAAATCAGCACATTCTAAAAGTAAAACTGTTCAATTTGATATTTTTACAATAAATGCTGTTAAGTCAAATCATTTAAAATGAATCCTACGGGTTTGATTTCTTTAGACGACCACCACCTAAGCAAAACAGGAGCAAAAAATTTAGTCTCAATTTAGTACTCATTTTGGATAAATTATGAACACTGAATAAATGTTAGATTGCATTACATATAAACGGCTCTTGATCTTCATTTCAAGATTCCAATTAAAAATTTATCAAAGGAAAAAACACTATTTTAATCAAGTTTTAGTGACATTTTATAATTGGATCGACCTCATCAAAAACTTTTTTAAAAAAGGCGGAGATCATAACGAGTTGTCTTTATATAAAGAGTACATTTATTTTGGGCCGGGTCAAAACTTAAGATGCGGGGGGTCAAGACAAGTCGAGTCAAGTTTATTTTTTCCAACCAGCAAAAATGTAACATTCATAAATTACGACAAAAATATAATTTACACAGTTTTACTGGGGAAGGGAAGTCGCGGGGAATCAAACTGGTTATTGAGCGGCGACACCCAAGTTTCCAATATCTAATTAAAAAAGTATGAATCAGAACCTTGGGTGTCGCCGCTCGATAACCAGTTTGGTTTCCCGCGACTTCCCTTCCTCAGTAGAACGGGTCATACTTTAAATATACTTTTATTGAGGCGTTTTTGAGATTTAACAATCTTATTGTGACTTCTAGATGGATCAAAAACAAAAAATCTGTTGGGTCTATATCACGTAGTTTTGACAGTAATGATTACACACATACTAGGATACATAGTTTATTTCGAATTGATAATACAGAAGATAGATACAATTACTAGAGTGCTATAGGTAATTAAAGTAGATATATTCTAGAGTATTCACTCATTAGGTTAAAAAGCTACGAGAGACTACATGATGTCTGGACGTGACTTCGGAACTTGTCTCTAATTTTAGGTCTTGGATTGATATTGTTTCATAGATAATCAATGTATCGACATTTAAATATGGATATTTCTAACATTTTTCAACTATAGTCAAATCTTCATAGAATACATTTTAGTCAATATTAATCTAAATAGCACAAAGTTGAAATTGCAAAACATTGAGTCATGTAGCAAGCCCCGTGTAAATTCAATGTTAATCTTTGTTGTCAATGGGTCGCCCCTTTTCTTGCCTGTTTGTCGACTTTGGCCACAGATTTCGCCCTATGATATTGGAACCTCTCTCGTGTTCCCTGGCGCGATTTCTCTCGTTTGATTTCTGTGGATAAGGATCTACATTCAAGGTGTTACTTGGAGCAATACCTCTCGACGGCGACGCCTGATAATCGCAATTTACTTCAGAAAATTTCATGGAGAATCCTTTTTCGGTAATAGAGCTGTCGCTATAGAAATTCATGAATGCCGTTGAGGTTGTAGACAGAATTTCAGCTTTGGGGAAGTGATAGTCATCTCCGCTGATATGCGCGAGTCGATTTGGAGATGGGTGACTCGGTGTACCGTCTCTTATATCTACATAGTCACAGCAAGATTCGGTCATGAAGTCGATTACGGTAAACAAAACACACTTTCCCGAAGACGCATAGACTGTCCAGTAGCAATCAAGGAGGTCCGCATAACCATTAGGGTAATTTGGTGATTGGACTATTCCATCGAGGAGGTAAATATCGGCCCCGCAGCTATCATACACAATTGGCGGTTCTGGTTTATATCTGATGTTGAATCCCCAATCAGTGTTCTGCGAATTTGACACGAATTGAACAAGAGCGGAATTTGACGACATGTCTGCACTGTAAGTGTAGGGTGGTATGTGTCCGTTCAGTGTGTGAGTAACCGTGCTGTTGACAGCTGGTCCGTCGTGAATGTACAAATAATCATCCATTGCCAGTTCGAAAAACTCTATGGTCATTCGTACAAAAGTACCTGGTGGGGTTTGGATGGAAAATCGACAGTCGAGATCGTTTTCGTATTGATCACTTGGATAACCTGGTGGAGATATGTATCCTGTGTAATTTGTCAAATAAACTGTCTCAGAGCAAGTGCCTGCCGCGGGTTCTGTCGGAACTTCAGGTACATTGGTCGTGTACAAGGATGGATCAGGATCCCCAGCATAAACATGGAAATAGAAACCTTTGTCTGTACCGACGCGATCTGACTGAAAATGTAAAGTTGCGTCAGGCGATGAAGTGGTAGCTACAAGGACGTGGTCTTCTATAAAACCTGTGAGTTGTGCAAGAAGATTAGACGAATCAGTCCCAAATCCGTTGTAAATTCTTACCCAGTCGTAATTATACTCAATCGAAAAGTCATGAACCCAAAATTTCATTGAGATGTAGCCAGGATACGTTATTCTCCATTGGCAGTCGACATCATTTGGATATGCATTCGGAACAAAGTAACCTGGAGATAATATACCTGGAGCTTCCGTTAAATACTGTGTTCCATGACATTGTGGATTATAGGATAAATCAGTTGTTGTTTCGACTGGGGTCGTTGTCGGTTCGTGATAAATAATTCCTTCATATGATATATTAAAACCGTTAGATGGCGACGATGAGGAGTTGGAATTGAAAACAAGAAAGGCATTGTTCGAGTTTGCATTCACGCTGTACCCACTTGAAACACTTCCGTACAGTGTAGCTAAAAGATCACCTGGGTTGGATGGTGTACCGTCGTATATGAATAGCCTGTCATAGTCATTTGTGTTGAAGTTGTCAACTGTAAATTCAACTCTCGTTGTATTCGATGTCAGAATTTCCCATGTGCAATTCATACCGCCATCATATGGTTCTGGGTAGTTGGGTGACAAAACAAAGCCTGAGTCCTCACTTGATAATATAACGGAACCGCATGGCATCGGTGTGGGTGGGATTGGTGGAATATTGACAAAAGTCGCCCTGAATCCGCTTCTAGAGATCAAGCAATCTGATGAGAAGCGAAGGAAAAGTGCGTTACCGGTACTCGCGATTGAAGAATCATTGCCTTCAATGACTCCGTCGACAATTGCTAAAGCATTAGAAGTAGACGTATTCATCCCATCGTATACAATCAGATGATCGCAACATTTCTCCGTTTCAAATTCTACTATGTTAAGGTCGATTGTATGTCCTTCGGGATAGGCAATCATCCATGAAATGTCGGATCCGTTCGGATAGTTATCAGGGAAATTCGGAGTGGAAATTTCTCCAGACACTACATTGTCTCCTAGCACTAAAATGCGTGAATCCAGCATATGGAAGATTTTAGAATCAGCTTCCAAAACTTGATCCGGGTGATTGATATATGTCATTTTAGAAATGCCTTCTTCTCCTGATTGCAGACTGTGCATCCCTCCAGTAGTCTGTGCTCTCTCTTGCTCCCTAGTGATTTGTCCGCCTATATAAATAAAAAAAACTTGAGAAACGTCTGTTTTTTTTTTTGGTACAAACGCGAACGTCACACTTTATGTCTTAAAACACTTTGATACAGTACGGAAAGGCTTTTTAGGCATGGTGAGTGAAATATCTTCGACAACAAGAAACAATTTTCAATTTGTTTTGAAAATAAAACGTTTTTGCACAAAAACTTTGTTTGAACCCAGATTAATGCAACTCTGTTGATTTATTACCTCTTGTTGAGAATATTATGTAGAATGTTTAAAAGTGGTTTATTGGGAAAAATGACAATCAAATTGACTGACAACGTATAGAATTTTTTCGTCAAAATGAATATTCGATTCTCATCTAATTCATTGTCATCACCATAATATGGCACCTCGGGTTATAAGGCGCACTGTCAAGAAATTGCTTACAACAGGATTTATTCATACATAAGGGCTATGAGGCGCACCCGGTACGGACACTGGTCTTGAGTGTTGGCAATAAAGCACTGCCTGATCCATACATTAAGCGATCCGGCATATAAGTCGCACGATTAACTTAGGAGAAAAATATTGCATTATAGTCCGGTACGGTACTTGATGAGTTATCGTTCATGTCAATAGACTTTGATAAAAAATTGGTGAAGTGGCGCATTCTAGGTGATGCTCCAACATTAATGTATTGTAGTACAAAAATTAAACGCCTACATTTCAGCAGAGGTTCACTCACAAAAGCATTGGGCGTTCGTACTCTTTGAAAGTTTCCGTGATAGTCGGTAAACTAGCATATAGCAAAAACAAAAGAGCAATTCCAAATATATGAACACGTTAACCAGAGCGAAGCAGTGCTTACCTTTGAGGCTACCGGTACCCTCAAAAAATTTTTCGAGTTTCGCGTAGCAAGAATTTACAGAATTAAACCGGACAGCCAGTGTTCCCACGGATAAAATATTACAGCAAAATTTTGGACGAAATATCATATTTCATAAAAAATTTAGAAATGAATAAAACTAGTAGCCTTCTGGCAAAAATATCAATCTTTATCCACTGAAAATTTCAAAGCAATTGGACCAGTATTCGAAGAGAAAAGCGATTTTTTTAAAGATAATGATGATGAATAACAAGAGAGCTATGCTCAAATATTTGGACAAGGAGAGCCACATAATTCGGATGACGTCATAGCGAAAAAAAAAGCCTTCTGGAGCAAAAAATTCTATCTTTAACCACTGAAAATTTCAAAGAAATTGGTCCAGTAATCAAAAAGAAAAGAAATTTCTTTAAAACGTGTCAAAGAACAACAAAAACAAGACTGAGAACAACATAACAACAAAACGATCGCTATGTTCCCTACGTGTCCAACAAGAACAACAACATAATATTGAAACGACCGTTTTTTCCACTAACGTGTCCAATAATCTACCGTACTTGCTTCATTGGAAAACAAAACGTAAGAGAGCACTATATTTTACAAGAGCAGTTGTTGCATTTTTTCTGTCACGAGTACGTGTGTACAGACATTTGTACAAGTATGCAAAGGAATATGCGACCTTACAGATTTTCAAGTAATATCAATAATATTTTTTATCGTCTTTATTGAAAAATTTCAACTTAATTTAATTCTCTACCTAAACATCACGATTGAAAGTACAATTGAAGACAATTATACATGGGTAATGAAAACGAACACCTCTTATTTTTTTCTCTTACCATTATAGTAGCTGAAAGTGTAAGAACGAATCTCCACGCCGTCTGGCACAGAATTTTGTTGAGATATTCTCACTGAATCTTCGCCATTGTTCATCATTGATACTCGGAAGGTGTGTAATGGTAGTTCGGGTTCAACATACTCCAAACTCTGGCTGTTTACGACAATTCCGCCGAGGCCCGCCTGCAGGAAAATGGCGCAAATTATAACGCAGGATACCAAAAAAATTAGGTTTACTTCTTCTGTCCAACTTCATACTGTAATTTTATATTAATGAAAATAAAACAGAATTCATGTCATTCGGAACGTATTCTAGAAAGAACATATTTTGTGCGGAGCACTAGCTACCGTTTAGAGGTGGATAGAAACTTTATTATCGAGTTTGATATTTATTGGATATACAATCTTAGACATAAAGTTTTATTAAATTAAATGGGATTTAAGTTGATTCTATATGTTGGGAAATAGCTTCTCTACAGATGATGCTGAATACTCTCGGGGTGATATCAACCTTACAACTTTCGCTATTTCTTAGCGTTGACATGTTGAAGTCGATTAGTACATTGGATGCAAAGGAAAATGCTTTTTCACAACACCTTTCAAATACAACAACAAACGTTTGCATAAAGGATAGGTTGACATCATTAAAATTGAAAATTCGTGATATACATAGAACACCTAGATGGGAAATTCGCGATTTATGTGGCGGTTCGTAGAAAGTCTCTAAATGATTAAAAATTTTGGGTTCCATTTAAAGTTAAGATTATCATCAATTCGTATGAAAATGTTTAAAATATTTTCAATATATATGGATTATTTCAACAACAAAAAAATTGTTTTTGTTCCTCACATTCTATATATGAACCAAGAAATATGAAATTTTCACCTACATCGAGTCTTACCTCACTATCCGGGATAGCTCTTTTTCTTATGCCACTAACTGTTGCAGTCGACAAATCAACTACAAATGCAGATGCAAACACGGCACAGCCGAACAACATTAATCTCAGGGAACCCATATTAAGACTAGATTAAGTCTGTGAGGTAAACGAATATTGTTAATTTAAATGAATAAATTAATAGTACAAAAGGATAATGAATATATTTCCTGGGCTTCGTGGCCGTAAACTGAAAAAAGGTGTGTTTTTAAATAGAAATCATCACATTCTAAAAATGAAAATTTTGAAGTCGGATAATGAATATATTTTCTGGGCTTCGTGGCCGTAAACTGAATAAAGGTGTGTTTTTCTTTAGATAGAAATCATCACATTCTAAAAATGAAAATTTTGAAGTCGGCATTATTTTGAATGTTGGAAATTAAAATATTTTTATATGCATTCGGCGGGATTGATTATTCTCGGAGAACAATCACCACCAAAGCCAAAAGGAGCATGAATATTTTGTAACTTCTCATTTTGGACAACTTATGAATACTAGTATATTCTACATTGTACATTACATATAAGCGGCTTTCGATCCCTATTTGAAACTTACAATTAAAATCTTATCAAATAAAAACAGCATTTTGATCAAGTTTTTGTGCCATTTTGAGAATCGATTCGACCCCTATCGGTAACGTTCTGAAAATATACGCAGATCATAACGAGCTGCGTTTATATAAAGAATGCATGTTGGGCGGGGCTTTATAGTGAAAAAAGTTTTTTAATCAATTTATCCACAGGGCCACGAGCGTAAGACGTGATCTTTTAATAAATATTGCCTAGGAAACGTTCCAACTAAATAATAGATTTCATCATTTTTGCAAGCTGTAAGTTCGGCTTGCGACATGGTATTTCTGACGTAAGTCGCAATAAAAGAGTACATAAACTTAAGATTTAATTATCATTATTAGCGTCAGTACTTGAATCAGTATTTGTGGACCATTTACCTCCAAGAAAAAAGTAGATGACAAGTATCTGTTATCAGATTTTTCGTTTGTATAAGTTGCTAGAAGCAATACCGTATACTTTTAAAGTAAAGTACGACTGGAAGACCCGAGGATAATTTAACCTTAAGTTGTGGGTTGGGTAAACAAAAACCTGGATCAGTTGGCTATTACGGGCCAAACATGATGGAATGGGTTCGGATATCGGAGGAATTTTGTCTATTCACTCATACCTCACTTTCCATAAGAACAACCAAATGTTTAAAATCCATTTATGATGCAATCTTGTCACATTATTGAGTTAGGAGTAGGAATGGATATGTATATATCTCTTTAATAGACATTTGAATAGCTTTTCCTGATGTACAGAGATTAAATTCATTTCAAAAAATAGTATGAAGAGTCCCAGTCACAACACATTACTTCGTTAACTTGACCGAAGAATTAATAGAAAATTGATCTGGTAGTTTTTTTTTCGATTACATTATGTAGAATAAAAAAGAAGAAAGGACTTCGGCTACCAAAGGTTACATTGTATTTTGTTGAAATGTAAACTTCTACATATTTGAAACTATGGTCTTTCCTAAACTTGTGTGGAAATGTACAACTATTTGAATATTATTGATTGCAGAATCCTCTGATTCACAATGCTTGTATATATTTTATAAATCAAAATGTGAAAATGATTACAAATTGCTCGGGACAACTTGCAAAGTCTCAATGTTTCATGGCAACTATAATTATGAAATATAAATCCTATGGCCTTGAAAAGTTTGCAACGCCTTTCAAATAAACTGCTAAAGTATTTCCTATTCTTTGCTTAAAAATAGAAAAATAATTTCCAAATTGTTAAACTAATATTTGGCACTTATCCAGCAAAATAGATAAAAGTAAAGCACGCAAGCGTTACTTGAAAGAAGTGTTTACGAAGCGAGGTGATTTCCAATCGTAAATATTCTTTATTCTAAATCAGGAGAAAAGTAAAAATTGGACCAACTGAGTTGCATAAATAAGTCTTCATTTATCAGCCTTGCGTCGACGCCCAATTTTTAACATAGTTTTACATTTTTTTGATTCATGGAAACTATTATAACGTAATGAGGACCTGTTTAACAATGTGGTAAACTGAAAAACATGGATTCAATTCTTTGCTTGAATATTTTCATTTTGTCTGACTCAACGGAAAAAAGTGACCTGATATTTTTATTTTTTTTTTTTGATATGATATTTCAGTCAAGTTTTTTATCGATCTGCTGCATTTTTGTAATTTTGTAAATTTTTCTAGAAAGGAAATTTTGCTCGAAGTGGTTATTCATGATCTGTGGTACCATTTCAACTCCCAATACTCTGTACCCATTGTTTTTCTATACAAATAAATACTTTTGATGTTAACGGGTTTCCATTATTTATTTTATTCGCTTCGTTTAATGTCAAAAAGCCATCAAACGAAAGCCAAAGAATGAATGATCTACAGTTAATAAAGTAAATAAATAGCTGCAAATTCACTTTAAATTATTGCAGTATCAGAAATAATACCTAGACAGAACCATTCTTTCTTGTGGTCCGAAGAGAACCGCTCAGCCAGGTTCCAGTTTTAGAAAACCCGGTTTGAAAAATATACACCCTGCAGCTGGTTTTGCTTGTTTTTCTAATTCACAGGTTCGCGTTCACGTAACCTTCGGTGCAATTCTTTTATTTGTGACTTTTTTTTTCGAAATGGCAAGTTTCGTGTATTTGTCTTTCGTATCAATCGAATTCATATACATTTTCAAAATTTTAATACCAAAAACTAAATCAAACTGCAATAAGTAAAACTCATAAATCGTAATGATCCAAATTGTTCAATTCTCCAAACTCAAAATTAACCCATAATATTGGAATCGTGATTCCGTACTGCGCGAAGATAAAGGGTTAAACAAACTTGTTCCCAAGGCGAAATCAACATTCGGCTTTCATATATATATTTTACAAAAAGGAAGAAAAAAACAAAGACTCCAATAACCGTTTGCGGACGGGGGATTTCCAATCCAATTTATTTCACAAACAATACATCGTTGTCCAAATATGCACAAATGTGATATACGCCGAAGAATATGAAGGCAACCGCGTGGGTCATATTTCCTTTCGCATAGCACTTCAAAATGTACCGCCATCTTTGCAACGGATACTTAAGATAAGACTTCAATTGAAACGTTGTTAAATTGAAGTAGAACAATGTTTGTACTATTCATTCAATTCACTGGAGAAATGGTTGCCATGAAGATTCAATTGAATTCTCTGCAAAAGTAGTGTGAATGATTCGCTTCCTTGTATGGATTCCTTCGTCAAATCAAAGACCAAATATTATTTAATTGAAAAATGTAAAATAATTGAAGTATTGTTTGTTTGTTTTCTTGAAACGAAAAGTGTTTTTATTTTGTTAGAAGAATTAAGTATTAAAAATACTGACATAGGAGAAAATTAGATTGTAAAATTACTATTTTCGTAAGATACCCTTATAAATATTATTCATGCGGGTTTATGAACCATAGTCAAGATCATCAATTTAAAACAGAAAGCATCGCGCAAAAAGATAAATTAAAAGCAAATACTGGAATGCCCATTGCGCCAGTGAGAATACCAGATACTGGGAAAACATTGATCTACAACTCAGAGCATTAAAACATGAACAACTCATTAGTGAGGAGAACTCATTTTTTTGGATACACAACTGAACGTTTTTAAAGTAAGGAATTCACTATGCTGTACATTTAACGATATGAGCTATACGTAAGTATGATACCAAAAGCAATCCAGCGCGTACGTAAGTGCGCAGTCTCCGTTATATATATATATATTAAGTATCTAGATTCTAGAGTCTACTCTAGACGTTCCTAGCTTTTTTGAAAAGCATCATCAAATGGGGCGAATGAAGAACAGGTAGACATCACATGGGTCGTGCCAATAGTAAGTAAAAGGAAGTAGAAATAAGTTGAAAGTGAAAAATTAGACAACCTATCGAAAACAAGAAATGGTTTTCAAGTCAGCAATCAACATTGTGCAAAATCAAAGTTAGTTATTAATTTAGTAATCAGATAACGCTGTGAAACTATTCAAAACTATAACAATTGATTCCAAATTATTCAGTTCAAAGGCAAAGCACACGAACGTTGAAGATAACTTTGAATTCATATTTTCACAAAGTGTCTCGTAGCTTGTTTTCAGTGGAATTTTCCAAGGTTACGGGTAACCAATGAAATACCATAATGGATAATTGAATCTTGCGTGCAAAGAGGGCGTTCCAATATATCGTTTCTTATCAACAACCACAGATATTATGGTGGATTCAATGTAAACATGGATGCTCTTATATATGTCGTTTAAACACTTGAAAATCGGAATCTAGATAAGACTTTTTGCTTCGTTTATGATACCAAAATCTTCGTGCTAAAGTGCACGGAATGATTTCAATTTTATTGCAGCAAATAATAAACAGCAACTCAAACTCTTGGTAACCAATAAAATGAATTTTTATAATTTCCCAGAAATTTATCCTTGCCTCATTATCAAATATTTATTTATATTATTATTATCTACTATCTACATAAAAAGATTTTCGAATGACGTACAAAACTGCAGTAAACATAGCCTTTCTGTTGAACTGTTTGCCTTTTTACGATTATAACCGATTGGTATTTATATATTGAATTTAGTGCTAACACTAGACTTATATAACATAATATTGCAATATACAGTGGAAACTATACCTATTAAACTTCCCTGGATATGAAATATCCAACTTACGAAAATTCTTTTGGTAAAAATATTACTTCGACCAACGTACGAGTTTTTACATAATGGTCGGAAACCAAAAATAAAAAAAAACGTAGTAATTTGATACAGTGCTTGGAGCAGGTTTGTTTAATTCGAATTTAATATTCGATTATCTCGACCTTCGAACATTGTTTCTTTTGTGTATATGAATACTGAATATGGTGCACATATCCTACCGCCGCCGTACACGTTTTGTTTCAAAACATTTAACAATTATTTAATTATCATAATCAAACGCAGCCGTGTTAGCCGCGGCAATAAATTACAGCCGACGTGGAAAGATTTCAATTAGCGACGACTTG